GTCATGGCGTTGCACAAATGGCCCAAGCAGGTAACCGCATGAGACGCAATCGAATTTTACGATGGATAGACGCGGAAGCAATCCTGAAACAAACATCAGCAGTGGGCAGTGCCACTGAATTTGTTCGTTGAACTTATCAGATATGTCATGAAACAACTCGGCTTCCCATATTTCCAACCTACAGGAACTCAGCTCCGTCAATTTTTCCGATGCATCTGTGTCACCCTATCTTAAATAGTAGAATAAAAGGATAGACTAAAGTTTCGTATATAAGAAGACATTTAACGATGCAGTCTGTGTTTCATTCCTTAGCTGTAAAGACAGGCCGAATTAAGTGTGCGGGTAGAAGCGGGAATCATCAGTACAGCCTCCTACCCGTCATATACTGAAAAGCCATTTAACTAATTTGCAAGAGGGATATGTGAGAGGAGAAGAAACAGAGAAAGACCAAACAGAGTAAGAGAGAAGTGGAAGAAAAGGGAGTTAACTCTAGTTACGGGAAAACTATTTCGATGATGAAAATAGCTTTTTATGGCATTTTCTAGAAATTTAAATTTAAAGAAGTTTTATTTTTATTATAGAAACTTTTTATGTTATAGACATTACAGAAATAAACATTATAAAAACTTTTTATGAAAATAGCATGCTGACTAGGCGTTTAATATCGATATCATCAGGAATGATGAATTTTTTGAAAACAGATCGGTTCATAAAACAGAACCTGAGAACGGAGCGTTCTATTTTGTCCATACCAAACTTTTTATGTCTATAGGTACTTACAAGTCGTCCAGCTTAGTAATGAAACCCATGTGGAAGAATGCATAAGTAGCTGCGATATAATAGCATCTTCTTTCACCGTTTGGTCCATATCATTGTCGGGGTACCCTCCGTGATTTACAGTGAATGGGTAGTCCAAGGTCTTATTGTATACGCTAAAAATACATTTGCCCTTTTGACACAAAATATCGAGGTCTAAAAAGAAGCCCTTTGTCCGGAGTAAGTGGTGTAGAGTTGCAGACTGGAACCATAAATTATACTGGCGATTTCAGTAAAGTTGGCGCAGTTAACAATAGGGATGTCATCGATATATCGAAATAGATGAAAAATCACTGGATTCTTATGAAGGAACCGATACTCCATGAGTGACAGTGTGAGATCGGCAATATCAGGACTAGCACTACCGCCCATTGGTACACCCTGTACTTGCTTGAAAATGTAACCACTAAAACGCACATATGTTTCCTGGAGAATGACCTGAAGCGTCACCTTGACCTCATCCTTAGTATAAGATATAATGTCACCTGTGAATTCGTTAGCATACCAAGTTTGGACATTACTTAGTCCAATATATCCCTTTCCCGAGTTGGTGAAGCAGAGGTCAATGAGAAAGAATAGATTATCAATAATCTGAGAATACGATAGG